CACACCCATGCCCACACCCACATTCTCAGCGTGTAGGGAACGCTAAAGAACTTGTATTGTTCTATCGTCATTGTTTTTCATGAAAATTCCTTTGACTCAAATTTGATAAAATATTTCATGTTCGGAAAAAGCCTCTTTTTCTTGTCCTGCTTGCGACAAACATTTTCTTATCTCTCGAAGATAACACATCTTTATCGATTGAGATGTCAGAATTCTAAGCAAAAAAACAAAATGGAAATATAAGACCATAAACTGACGTACAGACTCTATAGCTCTTCGTGAACAATTCTTGTTTTCATGTTTTATGTGGTTCTTTAATACAATTATATGCCTTCATGGCAACACACGGATATAAAGTCCAACAAACACTATATAGGACGAAGTGTGTAACTTTTAGCAGATATATGTACATTGGTTATACAATGAATATTAACATTCATGAACACACGTATTTTATAGTTTTTGAGGTGTGAATGCGGATATAGGTGTTATTCCTTTCTTAAACAACGTACCCATGCTCCGACCTACACCGCCACCCACCTATGTTTCTACCCACATCCAACACTCACACTCATACTCACACCCACACCCTAGAAGAAGCAATTTGGAGATAAAACATCTTTCATATCCATTCAGAAACATAATAAAAATTTATCATTTTTAACTATAAAACGAGAGACTTAGTAATAATGTAATGTAACATGAAAATGATTTGCTGATTGTTGAAAATTTTGTATCTTTTAATTAATTACTGGTCTTAGTTATCGAATGTTTCGTTAATGGAAGTTCTTTTTTCTTAATTCATCATTTGTTCTTTTAATAATGAGTATATCGAAATGTAAAATGATAATAAATATACGCTTTATATAGATATTTCAATATCTGCTAACAAATTTCATTTCATAATTCACCAAAAGCAATTACAAATACGTGGCTATTCTTTTCAATATAAATATAATAGTTTTTGTTTTTTGTAAAATTATGAAAGTAAATGATTTGTCGTTTTATCAATGGATACTTCTTTTTCCTCGATGAAAGAATTAAATGTTTTAACTCAAAATCTTTCTATAATGTATATAACAAAATACTATAAATCAGTTCATTTGAAATAACTAAGCGATCATATTGTGTTATTATTTCTATTGAAGAAAAATAACTTTAAATTGGGTGAAGATTTGGTCTTGTCTCTTTCTTTAAAAGTTTCTCTTTGTATTATCTTTCAAATAGCTGAAAATCATCAAAAAATCTCCTATACGTAAGGAATAACTATTAATGTTTGGAATTGACGAAATAACTTTCAAGTTATTCAACTCAAAGAATCGATTCATAATGATGTCTTTCATGGATGAAGTTAAAATGTTTTTGTAATTTTCTAAATGAACAATATAATTAATTGAAATAATAATTTGTATTTATTAATCACAATATCAATAAATTGTTTGCATAGTTTGCCAATGAACAGGTTATAGAAACACATTTTATAATCAAATAACAACCATTTTTCAGCTTTGAATGAAATAGCTGTGGTCACTGCTGAAAAATTTTAGAACAGAAAGAACAAAACAAGGTTGTATTTTTACAACTTGTTATAGTATTTATGTATTGTTAATACGAGATTAAGTTCAATAATTCGTAACTTGTAGGATGATATCAATGTATTATTGTCTTGAATCACAATTGTTAATTTGAAAAGCCAAAAATTTATTTTAAAAAGAGATTGATTTGTGCTATACATTGTACCTAAAATGATTCATATAGTGTTGATATATAGTTTTTTGTTAAATGTTTGGCAGAAAATCACGTTTCTCAAGAATATCTCTCCAACTCAACGACAAGATCTTCAGTGATAATTGCATTTATACATAAGTCGTCATCTATTTCTAACAGATACTATCAGTGTCCATCGATATTTACTTGATAAATTCCTTTGATTTCGACTATCTAACAAACATTAATTCACCAATAACTTATTATTTTATTGAATTCGATTGGACTGTAATATCTATGTCCTTTGTTACCTATTATTTGTGCTTTTCTAGTGGTATGCGTCAGTTGGAAGAATTGCTGTCACCACTAATAGACGAAAAAAGTAACACTACATCATACTGCGACCGCTAATCACTGCATTATATTGATCAACCATTCTAAGTACATCTATACATATATGTGTTACTAATAATTTCTCAAGACAATGATTTGCATAGGGCATTCAAAAAATACTGAGAACTAGAGCAAACTCGATTTACTTTTGAATAATCTTTTCGTATTCATCAATACATGTCAAACTGATTGCTCAGCTATGGCTAGGTTAAATTTTTTGAATCTAGATAAATATTTAATCTATAGTTTCAAATAATCGAAAAACAGAAGCTTAGACGAAGCGAGGTCAGTTTAAGCTGTCTGATAGACCATATCTTTAAATTCTCTTTTTGAGAAATTTAATAACAACACTTTTTATAAGCGATTCGCAATACCATGATGGATTTGATATCGTCGATGCATCATGACAGTCTTCATGGAAAATTTCTTAACTAATTTTTTGAATATTGTTGCAATCATTAGATAGCATCATCAGACCGTACAGAATGCATATGAAGCATAAGTAATGCTCACGTTATCATTAAGAAAATGATAAACATGGTTTCCTTACATGTTGCCATCTCCTGACGACAAATAAAATGCTTTCCCCATTTAAAGACTAGGATTTGTTTCATCCTCTACTTAACATGGCGATATCTAATCTATCTTTCAATGCGCGTCATTATATCACATAATCGCATTGTACGTTTCATAAAAACTGCCAAATTTCGGTAGCGAATCGGTGAGTATAATAAAGCAGTAAACGAACCATCAATTCGGCACATATCAATGAATATAAAAAGATTAGTCAAAATTAAATCGAGCTTTCTATCGAACATTGCTATGATGTCTTCTAACGTTTGCTGTAGACAAATAAATATAATGTACTTCTTAGAGAAGGAATATAACTAGTTCTTAAAGCTTTTTTGAACGCTCTATGTACATCGGATTATAGCTTACAATGTTTTACTAGATAAATAATATCTTTGAAATGTAAAAAGTAAATTAACTTTATTACAACTATAACAATCTAACTAATATGAACAACAGGTTAAGAAGTCGAAGTTTGTTTAATTTTAATTGTTCTAGTAATTATATCTTTTTCTCATAACAAGAAATACATTGACATTTTGACTTTTCGCAAAGCATGATCACGTCATATATTTTCATACCTCTTGTTAAAGCTGATGTATCTTTCACATTAATCTTAGCAATTATAATTTATCAGAATTATTCAAAGAATTAGAAGCATCAGTACCACGAATTTCGCCTTGAAGCTTGGAAATTTCTCTAATGATGTCATTAAAACAATGAAAGTATTTGATTTTTACATAATAGAAACATCATTCTTCAAAATTTCTTTCATTGGAATATTTGTAGGTAACGATGTGCAGCTATTTCTATGTATCGATTCCTCACACGCTATTTTCATCATTTTTAATGATTCCTATCTTTGTAATTTAGTAGATGTCTACTATTAGTGAATGACTGAGAAAAAGGAATTCATATGACTTTTAGAGTTTATCAGTTATTGTAAGTAATGCCATCGAAGAACAAATCAATTGTAAACACGTAAATAGTCTTAAGCAAAATTTTCTTAAACTATACTTTTATTGATACTTAAGATTTATTATTTTATTATTTTTACTACATCGACGGCAGCATGTATATAAAAATACTTCTTGAATATCATAAGATGAACCACAAGTAATTTTGTTAAAAGTAAAAGATAAATATCACATTAGATTAGTAAAGTTTGATTCATAATAGACAAAAACTTATGTTAAGTCATATACTCATGCATGATTTTAATAGATCATCTCTTCTAGATCACAAATAAATCATTTACTATTTGCCAACCAGTTCATCAGCCATCTTTATTATTGAAAGTTGAGGATACTTTCTTCACCATCATCATTGATTATATTGCTCCTTCGAAAAAGCATTCTTATTTCATTGTAATATGCATATATCTGAACCGGTTGTCATGCAACTGCTATCCTATGAAATAAAAAATTATTCGATAAAATAAAAAAAGACGCTTTTTTCCTTAGAGCCTAGTTGTTAATTGCTGTATATTACGTTTATACTTTTAATATCGATATATGAAATAGGGATTCATTTTAAATAGCACTTTCTTTATTTTATTATGAAAATAAATAGTTTATAGCTAATCTAATATAATAGAACTGCTACTGTACAAATAAAATGATAAAATTCACAAAGAAAAGAAATTACAAAAGTGAGTAGTTATATAATCCATTTTTTTCTCTTCGCCCTTGTGTTAAATTATATCCAATAATTAAGAAATGATAAATATGAGTTCGAAATATTGCCATGGTAATCAGCATCTGACATCAACAATCAGCAGAATGAAGGACTAGTAGCTACGAATTGAAACAAGTATCGTGACAAACGACTATGCCATTGCTATTCAGCAACCGACTGATTCCACTAGTAGCAGTGCTACTATCGCTATCTGATCATCTAATTTGAGCTAATCGGCACAAACTCCAAATGGACTTCATTGCTGGCTTCAACCGATACGGAGGTCACGGATTGTACATCTTTGACCATGTATCATATGATTCCAATCGAGAACCAAAGAACATTGTTGCTGAAAGATACAGTCCAATGTTCAATGGCCTCAGTTGAAACTGACATTACATAGTCAGTGACCACGATGATCTTGCATTTTAAATGTAAATTCTAACAAATGCTTCAATTTCTCGACGACAAATTGGACAGGATCGTAATGAGTGTCCACATGGAACACATGTTGCTAAATGGCCGCAAGGTATACAGGCGAGTCGTTTTTCTTCTGTTAAACATAATACGCATGGGTTAGCTGGCGATGAATCACTTGTTTGATTTTGTTCGCTTGTAACAGAAGTAGTTGGTTTTGGTACCTTTGTTTCTTCTTGCTTGACAGTTGATGTTTCTTGTGATGAAGATACTGATTCATTTGTTGCTGATTGTGATGATGTTGTCATTTCTACATCAGTATAATTGGATGTAGCAATAGGCATCGATTGAGTAGGAGCAGAACCAGTTCGTATCAGAGCAGGTTGTTGACGAGTGAGAGTTTCTATAACAGAAAGAAAAAAAAATTCGTAATGAACATTTATTTCAAATCAATAATCAACATACCTGCTATTTCTCTTTCAGAATCTTCTCGAATTTTTTTCATTTTTATAGTTGGTATAATGATATTTTCTTTTTTACCATCAATGTACTCAATTTGCTTTTGAAGAATTATACAAGCCATATGCAAATCGGCATCACTTACGAAATCATCTTCTAAACAAACAAACAAATATAATAGATAATCAAATGATTATTCAAAGTTTTGATAACTTACGTTTTAATCGAAGTTGATCTTCCCAACAACGTTTAATAATAGATAATTTAAAATTTTTACTTAATAAACTTTGTGAATTTGGTAGATCAAGTCGAGCAGCAACAAGACGTGATAAAGTACTTTCATCAGGTATTAATAATTGTCGACTATTTGAATTTGTATTATTACCACTCATACCAATGGTGCTTACTTTCTCTTTTGATTCGTTCCCTCTGGCGCGTTCTGTGTAAGAAATTTTATTATTCTTATGTTTTCCTTCAAATTTCAATTAGCAAACAAACCTTGTTGAGCTCGTTTAGATTCTTGAATTTTCCTATAAAGATCAACACCACATAATTGTTTGGCATAAGCACAATGTGGAAACCATCGAGCATGTTCTATCATAGGATTGTCATTTTGTCCCCAATTCTGTAAAGATCCATTGCAATAAAAACAAGTGACAATACTTTTTGTACCAGTATAAAAGAATCCGGCTCGCACAAGATCTTCGACAGAAGGTAAATTTTCACTTGGCCATGTCGCAAATGATGCAGTCCTTCTGGGTAATTCTGTATATGCAGCATGACATGCAGCTGTAGGAACAAATTCATTGCAACGGAATAGATCAGGATTGTTTGAAGTTGATGAATGACTTCCTGAAGCTGCTCCTACTGCGGTTTCATTAACGATTAATATCGATCTTGCTTCCGGTCGGATTAATTTAGCTTTAACATATATACAATTGGGAGAAAGAGTTTTATGAACTTCACATGCATCATCAGTATGTGGTGTCCATTGCTGGCAAATCAAATTACAATAAATGCATATTACTCGATCACCGACGTTACAATTGAAGAATCCTGCTTCAATCATTTGTGCTTGAGATGGCATAGTACGATGTGGCCAATGTGAAAAAGTTCGCTTTCGTATCTGTTGAAGTTTTTCACTTTCAAAGAGACTATTTGAATAAAAGTTTGCATGAGTTGTTTCAATCTTCTGACGTTTCGATGGATATTCTGGTTCATTTGATATCGATGCACTTTTAACAGTAGCTGTTGATGGCGAAGAACAAGTGTAGGCAGGACTTGAGAAAGAAGAAGAACATGAAGAGCGTATAAGTGAATTTGATGACTTTAAAGAACGAATAAATGAACAATCAGGACTTTTAGTGGAGTGAACAATATATGGCTGCATATCAGATGTCCAATTAGATACCTCAAGACCACAATCGTCACAACGAGCCGTGTCTCCTTGGCCTATATATTTGAATCCTGAACCTATCATAACAAATTCCGAAAAAACGCCTGGTTTGTTTTTTAGTTTTAAACATAAAGCAACAATATTGTTGATATCATTGTCACGGTTTGATAACTGTTGTTCCATATTTTTAGAGAGATCTTTGGAGACATACTCATTAAATTCTATTTTTTTTTCTACTATATTTGGCTGGTTAATCATACATTCAGTCATTATTGGTATGAATAAATCAGGAAACAAATTCTAGAATATATAACATGCACATAAATATCATGAATAAATTGATTAAGATATTCTCATTAATATTATGATGTGATCATGCACATGAACAAACTATTTCTCTTTACGATTTATTTACTTGTTCTTCAAGGTTGTACCTATCCAAACTAATGTCGGATTTTTTTTCAAGTACTAACGACTATTTTTTGAATAACTTTTCAACGGTTCAAGCTACAGACGTCGAGTTTTCACCGTTAGAAAGAGCAAGGCGGGGGACGTCGATCTGTATAAAATTCATTAAGTTCAAGCCTCTTTTTCATAGCTGTTTACAGTCAGATGTTTTTTTTTGTTGTCTATTTTCATGAGTTTTTGTGACAAGTTAACATCAAATTAGACCAAAATGTAGCTCAAATCTCCCTGTATTTGTGCTAAAATTCTCATATTTTAACATCAAAGCGTAAGAAAAAAAAACAAGAAGAAAATGCAAAGATTTGAAAATTTTAGCACAAATACAGGGAGATTTGAGCTACATTTTGGTCTAATTTGATGTTAACTTGTCTCGAAAACTCATGAAAATAGGCAACAAAAAAAATATCTGACTGCAAACAGCTATGGAAAAGAGGCTTGCACTTAATGAATTTTATACAGATCGACATCTCCCATCTTGCTCTTTCTAACGGTGAAAACCCGACGTCTGCAGCTTGAACCGTTGAAAAGTTATTCAAAAAATGGTCGTTAGTACTTTTAAAAAAATCCGACATTAGTTGCCTCGCGTTGTCTTGATTCATTCTCTCATTATATCAAAAAGATCAATTTTAAAACATTGGATTAATTCTTTTTTTTTAAATTGTGAATTTTCTCTTCCTGTATCAGGTAATCTTATAATAACTCCATCTTTCAACATAACTAATATTGATGAAAACTTACTTTCATTTGTATTATATGATGGTATTATAATTGTTTCCTAACAACTATATGTATATATCTGTAGAGAACAGCTAAAAATATCTCAAACAAGCTCGGCTTTTTCCTAATTTCTACCGATAAAAAGCAGTGCTCATCGTGGAAAAAATGGGCCTTCTGCAGTGAAAAGTAAATGGTTTTTACCAGTTATATGTAAGTTGTTGGAAATTACCAAGTTAAAATATCTTAACAAACAATAATAAAAAAAAAGACTACCATTCTATTGCAATGCATTTGTTTAGTGGGAAAAAACCAAGCAAAAAAATACCATTAATAAGTGCGCAACAGAACAGAAAGAAAAAGTATGCACTTTACGCAGCAATGTCTATCAAAAGAACGTTGAAGGGTATATAGAGAGGGCGCTAGGCAACTTGCCAAGTTACACAGTATGACAAAAAACAAAAACAAAATGCAACATTACATAAATCTTACGCTTTTAGAAAAAAAATTTAGACTATTGCGTTTGAAAATGTCAAATTTAAAGTTCGATGATTTTCTTTTTCATGCAAAAATCTTAATAAAATCATATATTTATAAGCTTTTTGATGAATATCATATTCACCAAGTTGGATAATTTCAAACCATTAAATATCCGAAAACAAATATTTATCTAATAATCTAAGGGCAAATAATCAAATTTGAAAAGAAAAAAAATTATACTTTTGTAAAATATATTCATGTTTTGTCGAAATATTTAAAAAAAAGACCTTTTAGAGTTACTTTAACCTACTCTAGTATGAATCGATCGATAAAACAATTATTTCATTAATTTTCAAAATGTACGATTCATTCATATATATATATAGTAGAATTGTCATGCGTTTTAAATTTTCTTTTTGTTTACAATAACATTGAGCTCAATAATCATCAATTACTAATACATTTTGTCCCTGATAAAAAAGGTATGCATGAGCTATTCTTATACAAATGAGGAATATACCATATTGCTTTGCTTTCTATCATGAATCTATGTCATGATTGTTGTGTAGAAAGAAGCATACTATTTATTTCACAGAATCTAGTTATATCATGATTGTATCAATATAAAATATTAGTAATATCTATTCGTTATTAGTATGACAAAACTAATATTGTCATATCCTCTGCTCCACAAAAAAAGACGATATTAAGAAGAGAATATTCTGATTTCCGTCTATGCTAAGCAGAAAAAAAAATAGTTCTAACAGGAAGATATTTACTTTTGAGGTCATGACTATGAATCAATGACAGTTGTACTTTTTTTAATGATGTTAAACTTTGATATTTCATTCAAATTTACATCGTGACTACATGATGATTTATTTTTCTTCTTAGTAATATTGACGTAAATGATTGCATGGGAATAAACCAAGGAGATACCTATTATACATTAGCCTGTCTTTATCACAAAAAACGACTGTCATCATGTTGTTTTTTATCGTATTACTTATCGTATACTTTTCTCCAAGGTTTAATGCGTTGTTAAGTTTTATGTAAACATGCAATGACGCTATTCAAATTTATACGTTACATAGTTTTTCATGCATATCAAACAGGGTAGATTCAATAATGCTTTATTACACATTAGAAAAAATTGCTATAGGAAGTTTCATTAAAATTTCGTTACAAGCATATTTTATACAGCCAATAGTTAGAAATGTGTTAAATAAAAAAAACCAATCATTGAATAATATTCACCTCTGTGTTTTTTTTTCTAATGAGTTTCTAACAAATCATACGAACGATGAACTTTCAATTAAGAATCTAAAAGTAAACCCTCTAGTAGTTACTAACAATTACTTCAAACATACGTGGTCTCCATTGACAAGTTTGCTAAAAGAATGGCAAATGTTGGAATTTTCCAACTAATAAAAGCGTAAAAATATTTATTTAGAAAACAGATGCCCCGCATACATTTTTTTTTTCTTCCAACTTTTTTCTCTTCAGTAAATAGAGTTTTTTTCGTTTATTCATAAATAAAACTACTGATTTAGACCAAACTTAAGCAACTATATCGAGTATTATTCATAGATATTATTTTTGCTTGATATCTTATCTCAACTCATCGTCCTGAATGTTCGAAAATTTTAATTTTATCTCTAATGTGATACATGTTGATGGAGAGAGAACAAACTTTGATAACGTGTAATGAATAATATACAACACACTATTTAAGAGTAGCAACACAGATTAAATTACGCAGTTGCAAAAAAAAAGTAGACATAGGTTGTGTTGAATATTTTAACGAAACTATATAGCAAATCTATTTAAAATAAATTTGCCTTTCATCTTGCCTCCCTTTTCATGCTTCTATATTCACTACTCACAACAACAATAACAACAACAAAAATCGACATGTGTGAAGAACCACAGTTAAAAAAAATGATATTGTTGATAGAAGAAAAAAACTTCCATCTTTTCATCATTTGATTAAGTCAGCCCTACATTTATCAATAAAGTCTTAATGTAAAAAAGCAAGATTGAAATGAATAAATATTTTGAGACAAGATAGATCTGCGTAAATAACAATAATCATGTTTTTTAACCTTCACATTTCACTCAAATGTAATTTTTGGACAAATAATATTCAGATTCATTTGGTTTCGTCATGATATGCATTGTAAAAGAAGAATTATTCATACATTTCTTGGTTTTCAACAATGAGTTATATAACATAGAATTTGCTTAAAAAACAAATATCATCGAAATATGACAAATTAGAAATGTACATTTGTTTTTCATTTCTAATTCTTCGATTCATCAAATTCATTGAAAAAAAAAATTTCAAAATAATATCTATAAATCAAATCGAAAATCGATAGAAGTAAAACTGAATCGATTCAAAATGAGTAACAAAATAATGCTGTAAATTAATCATATATTATATTTTCTTCTTATATGCACGTATTCTTGCATAATGTTACCTTGCTTTTTATATTGATATTTCATCATAATAAAATACCTGGAATAAACAAGCATGTGAAAAAAAGACGTTACCTAGAGTCAACATGATTCATTCTATATGCTTGTGACAATGCACAACAATTAGTTATATATACTCTAGAATAATTTGGATGAAGGTTTATAAATTCCTCATTGTTTTGATTTGATTTTCTCAGCAAAATTGCCTAAAGAAATAAAAGTAAGTGTGTGCATTATAATTTGTGTTATCAAGTCGTAAGTCGCTTGTTTTCTGATAGACATTATGAATGAATATATTGAGATTTTCTATCATCATTTTGTACTAATAGTAATTGATCTACGACCTGATTAGATATGTACACAGAAAATGCAAGAGACATTGTTTATTGGAATAAGAAAGTTTTAATATGTCTTGGATTTTTTTTTATTCAATTTGACATGTAACATTTTGCATGAAATGAAAATTGAATTTTATCTACTTTTCATTAAAATCAGCAACGTCTCTATCAAAAATACAATTTCTTTCGGTTTCTATAAGTAACAAACACGAAACGATATGAATTTTAGTCAATTCTATTGCTTTTCTAAAATAAAAATTTAATGAGAATGAGAAAGTTATAAATGACTGTTTTTTTTATTAAATTTGAAGAAAAAAGTCTAGGCGTTAATAAACAAAATCATCGATGTACGCAACTATTTACAAACGAATTATAAAGATATCTATCGAAAAAAAAAATAATGAAGGCATTGTACGAAAGCATGTCAATATCGCCATGTGATTCAATCCTCTACATGTTTTAAACTACTATGTATATATATTTTTTATTTGTGCTTTTTTTTTTGCTTTCTTTTCTTTGTTGTTGCTATGGTTTTGTGTTTTGCGATTGTCATTGTATCGACTTCGTTTTCCTTCCTCATTTTCGATGTTATATAGTTCCAAAAAAATAATGAGAAAAAAAGTATCATAACGAAAGCTAGAGAATATGAACCAATATTCTCCACTAAAGCGTAACTTTCAATAGTTCATCGAAAAGTCATCATAAATAAGATTCAAAACATGATATCACTTGCTTTACTTCATCAACAGAATAATGCACTCTGTTGAAGCTATGTGCATCATAGAAAAAAGTGAGCTAATTTTAGGAAATCAATCCATCGAGTGAATCATTAATCTTTCACTTGTTTTGTGTTGTAGCATGAGAACATTTTTTTAATGTAAAGAGAAGTGTGAAAAAAATTCCTCTAATAAAAGCATTATTACAAAATACATATTTTTTATTTAATCCATAGTTTATACCATTGACCCTTGCAAATATCTATGAGTTATATATATTGAAGTTTAGTCAAAATTAAGTACAGATTTTAAGAGGTTTGAAGATTTAAAATATCGAAAAGAGTGGAAAGAAAAAAAAATAATCTCATATATTTTTTTGTCAGTTATCTTTAGCCTTCATTGAAGTCTAGTTTGTTTCAACAGCCTCCGACCAACAACAAAAGAAAGGATCTTTAAGATTATGCTTTCTTGTCAGCTTTTTTATCGATATTTGTTTGTCCTCGAATTTTACGCACCCAGAGCGACGAATACGGAGGCCATATACGATCGTAAACGGCCGCGCATAATCACGATACGACCGTATTTCTCCGTAATACATGAGGCCGTATTACGATCGTATATCTCCGTGACCGTATATGGAAAAATACGATGGTATACAGAGCAAGACGGAGTAAAACGGAGATTGTATACGACTTCCGTATACGAAGACAGTAATCGAGCGTGTTTTTCACCGTAAATCACCGCATTTCTCCGTATACGGTCGTTTACGACCGTGCTTGTTTGACCTGGATAGTTCATAAGCTAGTGGCAAAAAGTTTAACAATAATGCACTTTTGATTGTTTTTCTATAATGTTAAAAAATAACTTCATTGGCTATTAAAACCACTAATTGAATTTGACCTAGGTACTTAAAATTACAGAAAAAGAAATCAAAAATATGATGTTGTTAAACTCTTTTTCACTATATTAAATGCTATGTCAAGTATAAGTGTATTACGCTATTAAGTTTTGTTGAGCTTTTTTTTCATCTTAAAAAAATGAAGGATTTTTTAACTTATACATTCCCTGTGGTAGAATAATTACAACCTGCGCAGAAAATTTTTTTCAATCATACACATTTATATAAGTTGAAATATTGATCACTTCCCTCTTATTTATAAAATAGCAAAAATGTACTTTTCAACAAAGACTAAACCATACATCGATAATCGATATCAAAGAACGAAAAACAATCATTTTGAACAATACTCCGTGGTAGATCGTGGTGATATGCTCCGAAAAGTTGAGATGGTCTGTCGAGCACTGATTCGACAGCCAGGAGTTTATTCTTGTGTTACTATGAACTTAGCCGGATTCCAGTATACAAATAATGGAGATGCGGCTCGCTGCCACACTTGTAATCTTGAAGTATCAGGATGGACATTGGACATGGAACCATTTGCTATTCATGTAAATCGAAGTCCCACTTGCCCATTCGTTCTATCACCATTACTTTCTCAGAATACAAATAAAACTACGGCAGCATTAAACAATGGAAACCAAACACTTCAAAAGCCAGAAGTTGACACAAATACTCTCCACAAACATTTCAACATACTTGTTGAAGTAGATAACATTAAACAAGTACGAAAACGTACATTTTCACATTGGCCACATCGATCATCACCTTCCAGCTCACAAATGATTGAAGCTGGATTTTTTAGTTGTAATGTTGGTGATCGTGTCATATGCATTTATTGTAATATTATCTGTCAACAATGGATTCCAAATAGTGACAATCCATGTGAAATACATAGAACACTCTCACCCAAATGTCCTTATGTTATATCCATGTTGATTCGTCCTCAAACATCAACGATTTTGGTTATTAATGAACATTGTAGCACTGACCAATCATCAACCTCAACCAACATCGATCCATTTCGATGTAATGCACTTGTTTATACTGCAGCTTGTAATCCATCTTATATTGAAATACCAAAACGATATGCATCTTTTGCTACTTGGCCTAATGAAAACTTATCATCTGTTAATGATCTAGTTAAAGCTGGCTTCTTTCATACTGGTACTAAAACTATTGTGACTTGTTTTTATTGCAATGGTTCTTTACAAAACTGGGGTCCAAATGATAATCCAATGATAGAACATGCTCGTTGGTTTCCACATTGTGCATATGCAAAACAATTGTGTGGTGCTGAACTGTATCGAAAGATTCAAGAATCAACGCAAACTCAACAAGGTTTCTTCTCATGCTCTTTTCTGAATGTATTTCGTTTTTATGTTTTTGATTTAGCAACACCTAGTTCTAAGAATTGGATCAATCAGTTAATAATCAATAATAGTAGCACAGTCGATTATCGATGGTCAACATCAGATGAGGATACGTTATGGCAACTTGTAGCTGCTCGACTTGATTTGCCTATTTCACAGAGTCTCCTTAGTCGTAACTTCAACCTATCGATCATTAAGAGATGTTGGGAAGATCAACTTCGATTAAAACGTAAATTGAGAGATTTTTTCCATGATTTTGTACAGGAAAATTAAACTAATTGATCTTAAACATTTTTTTTTCAGATGAAGATTTTGTGAGTGATTCTGATCTGTTAATGGCTTGTACAATTCTTCAGAAACAAATTGAATATATTGATGGTAATAAAGAACATATTATTATTCCAATTGTGACAATGAGAAAAAATCGCGAGAGAGAAAAAGCAAGATAATTTATTCAGAAATAGCATTATTCAATAACAATATGGTTAAAATAGCATAATGAAAAATAAAAAGTCGACATAATGTATCGATAGATGATCTTTGCGTGTTTCAATTCGGGGAAGAATAGGGTGTGGGTGTGGGTGTAGGGTGTGGGTGGGTGTGGGTGGGTGTCGGTGTCGGTGTGGGTGGGTATGAGGGTGGGGGTGGGTATGAGGGTGGAGGTGGGTGTGGGCATGAGTGTGGGTGCGGATGCAAGTGTGGGTATGGGTGTGGGTGTGGGTGGGTATGGGGGTGAGGGTGGGGGTGGGAGTGAGGGTGGGGGTGGGGGTTAATCTTGTGTCAAGCAGCATCTACACCCACATCCGCACCCTCTAGCCACACTCACACCCACACCCCGCACCCACACACCACACCCACCCATACCCACACCCACCCACACCCCCACCCATTACAGAGAACGATAAAAATAAAGCTAACATTACTATTATTATTACATAGCATATTATCCAACAATATATTGTTTTCTGTTTAGATGGCGCCTTTTTTAATTGATATCTTAAAACTTATGGTCAAAATGAAAGTGGAAAGTGGAAAAAATAAAGAATCATTTAATGGATGAAAGCACGTCCCCTGAAATACTTTTTGAAAATTCAATCGATTAATCAATTATTAATTTTCTGTCTTTTATCATTTTGTCGCATAGTTGTTTTTCAGATAAACGTGAATAAACATTAACATTATTTCTATTCTCAAAACTGAAGAAATAAAATTATTTTAAAGAGAATTTTATTCATCCGACTACATTCTTTCAGGCAAAAAAATCTCAAGTTCATATGATATTTCATAGATTGAAAAAACAAGGCTTGACATTTGAATAATTAATTTTGTTTTATAGATTATAAATGCCATCGATTTCTTGGTAAATAAAGCCGGATGATGTTGTCATCATATTCATCAACGAATCTGATATTGAAAACAATTCATCCTGTTTAAAATCATTAATACATACATCTGACTCAACCATTCAATGACATAGTAAGACAGTTTCATATGAAAACTATTTTAATTAATTATTGCCTCTCACATTTAGTCAACATCATCTCGAATTTCATCATCTGTCACCATCACACATTCATTCAACGACAAAAAAAATTTTCAAATGAAAAATTAAATAAAGTACCATTTCTAACAAATCTACGTCGTTTAAATATTTTTAGTGTACTCAAAAAGTGAGTACACTACTAAAATCGGTCTGTGTGTCCGCCCGTTTACACGATAACTTTCGGAAGGAGAGTCAGATTGCGATGAAATTTTCTACACAGCTTAGTGTTGACAATATCTCGGTCGAGTTCGAAGATGAGAAGGATCCGTCATGAAATGGCTGAGTAATCGAAAAAATTGGGATTTTTGACCAGATCATCCCTAAAGACGGGGGGGGGAGGGTACGGGGATTTTTCGAAAAAACTTTTTTTGCTCATAATTATTCACAAAATACATAAATCGACTCAGTTTTTAACGCTGATTCTGAATCTGATATTAGTTTTGAACCGAATCATAGGTTTGTGTACTCAAAAAGTGAGTACACTATAGAATAGTCAGTGTGTCCGTCCGTCCGGTTGGCTGTTTACATGATAACTTTTGACAGCAGAGTCAGATTGCGATGAAACTTTCTACACAGCTTAGTCTTGACAATATCTCGGTCGAGTTGGAAGATGAGAAGGACCGACCGAGCCGTTCCTGAGTTATTACAAAAATACCCATTTTCCCTATAGCTTTCTGTGGAAAAATGGACCCATCGCGACTTTCGTAAAAGACTTTTCCTATCATAGTCAACTAAAACCCCAACTATTATATACCATTCGATAGAGGATTTCAAGAACTACAAAATGATATATAAAACATAAAGAAACAAGAACGTTGACTAACTCACACAGATAATTAAAGAGAACTAGGTTATATTTTGGTCCACGATCTAATTGATCCACAAATAGAGCTTTATCTTCCGGTCACACTGATGATACTTCGAGGTTTTCAGATATAGAGAACTCGAATGTGTACTGCACTTCCATCGAAATACTATTAGTTGTGCAGTGACCAATAGAAATGAAGTTATAGGGAAAACGACTTTCTTAGGGTAAATCAAGGGAAAGAGTTCAAACTTGAGCTGTATTCGGTCCCATGTTCTATTGGTTTGGCAACGCGCAATAGAAATCAACGTTTTAAATGGTAGATTTCACAGTATAATTTTGATATTCAGACAGTCTAGGATGATTGATTTGTATGATTCACTTTTTGAAGTACACATAACTCTCGGATTTAAATCCGAAGTTTTCGCATTTATTTTATTCTTCTGCATTTAGTGATCGATCACCAATGACATCGAATTTATCATCAAATATTATTTTCACGTCAGTTTATCGTTCCATTATGATCAAGAAATAGCTCATATTAAACCAGTTGATGACAAAGTAACAGAATTTTACATAGAAAATATTTAATTCATCATTTTCTCTTTTATTTAGTCAAGATTGTGATAAATTTCATCATCTCTCATACATAAAATCAATGTAAAGAAATTATGTTTAAATGTAACACCAAAAGAATTACCAATTCCAAGAAATTTTCGCTGTTCAAACATTCTTTACCCCTTTTTTTGCATTTAATGATCGATCACGCACGAATAACATCAAATTCATTAACAAATACTATTTGAATATCAACTCCTAATTTCTCTAATGACCAATAAATGATTAAAATTGAACCAGCTAATGACAAAGTAATAATATTCTACATAGGAAGTATTTTAGTTAATTGTTTTTTCTTTCTTTTAGTCAATATCGTGTTGTAATTCTAACATTTACCATAGGTAAAGTTAGTGAAGAAATGTTATTTTCATATATACAATTCAATCAAACATCAATTCTAACAAATCTTCATCATTCGAATATTGTTCATTCTATTGTATTTAATGATCGATCATGAATGATATCAAATTGATCAATACATACTGTTTTTAAAATTATTCATTCTTTCCGTAATCATCAATAAATAGTTCAAACTGAATCAGCTGATGAAAAAGTAACAGAATTTCATGTTTTATATTTCTTAATCGATCGTTCTCTTTCTTTTAGTCAATATCATATCCCATTCCAATACTTATTACACGTAAAATTAGTGTAGAATAAATATCTTCGGAGAAAGAATCAAATGAAGCACCAATTATGAAACATCAATTCTAATTAATCGTCTTCACATCTTTACTATTTAACGACAAAGTAAAAAAATTTAATGTAGGAAATATTTTAATTGATTGTTTTCGATTTTTCTGTTTTAGTCAACATCACGTAGAATATCATTATCTTTCATAGTTTAAGTCAATCAAAAACACATATTATTAGATGAAAAATCAAATGTAGTATCAATTACAGCAAGTTTTCATCAAACAAATATTATTCATTTTTGTTTAATTGATAATTCATTGATATTTATATAGAATCAATTAACAAATCCAATTGTAAAACCAATTCATCGTTTTCATAGTCATCAAAAAATAGTTCAGATTGAACCAGTTGATGATAAAGTAAGAAAATCACACACAGAAAATATGCAAGAAACCGGTAGCGATCATTTGTAATTAGGTTTCTAAGTTATGAAAGATTAGTTACATTGAAATATTCTACTATATTTGGCCAAAAGAAAAGATTATTTTCCTTTCCAACTGCGCAATAAAGACTTTTGTCATAGTTCTGGATGCATGATGCAATATCCTACATAAACATAAACGTGGAGAGAAAGAAAGAAGAGAAGAAGAAGAAGAAGAAGAAGAAGAAGAAGAAGAAGAAGAGAGAGAGCGAGAAAAAAAGCATAACATCTAAACACAAGGTGTAACTGTGATATATTCTATAGGAGAATAGCGAATATGTCGAGTAATGGTTAGATTTAAAATATAATCGTATAAAAGAAAATTGTTTTTGTTCAGATAATCAACCTGAAATGAACAAATATGAAAGCTGTTATCGAATAACAGCTACATTAACTGATGAAAATCATTTTTTATCAACTATATCGTCAACATCTGCACGAAAAGCACTAACAACTGAATCATCTGATAAAACAGAAGCATAGATTAATTATAAATTTCCTTGAAAACAAGACTAAAAATTTTAAAATTTAGATTGAACAAATTGATATAATTCAAAATCATACAACACATTCTGATAAAATAACTAAATATCGTGAAGAATATGATGAAAAAATTCAAGAATTGGAATCACGTATTAAAGCAATTGAAGAATGGAAAGCAACACATGAAGGTTAGATTATCATTTTTGTTTCTTTAGAAATAATCTTCTTTTATTAGCAGGTGAAGTACGAAAAACCACGGAAATACAAAAAGTAGTATAGATTTCTTATTTTATTTGAAAAAACAAACACTTTTTTTTTGTTTTTTAAAATAAAAAGAATGAAGTTAATAAAGATCTTTTCTCACATAAACTTGAAAATAAAACATCACATACAAAAGATACTGATGAACAAGGTAATAATTTCAAATTAATTTAATTTAATTTGATTTAATTTAATTTGAATAATTTAGATGACCATGATGATCATTCAAGTCGTCTTATTGAAGAACAACACCGGAATTTAAATAATGATTCGTACATCTTGTTCGATAAAAAACAAGCTGAACAAATCGAATTATTAAATTCGACAATTATTGAACGTGATCGAAAAATGGTAGAATTATATGATAATGAAGTAAAACATCTTAATGAACAAGTAGAAAAAACATAATCGAAATTGGAATTAAAATCAGCTGAATGTTTACAACAACGTGATTTATTTAGTGCTGAAAAAAGAGAATTACAAAATGAAATTGAAGCAAATAAACAAAATGTTTGATTTTTTTTGTTTTTTTTTATTAAATAAAAATTTCTTTATTTTTGTTTTTTAGGTTTTACAATTTGAAGAACGTGAACGAAAATTAATAAATGAAATAGAACGATTACGTATACAATCATTAAAAATGAACCAATCTTATACAACACGTTTACATGATTCTGAAGAACAAGCAAGATCTTTAAGAGTCCGAGTATCACGACAACAAGACGAACTTGAGGAACAGGCAATAGTTATTGAACAATTTCTTACAGATGGAGATCGACCAAAAAAATTAATATCAGCTAATTTGGCTACATTAACACAGCAATATCAAAAACTTGAAGAAACCAACATAAACTTGACTAATCAATTAGTTTATGAAAAGAAACTTTCACGAGGTTTAATGTGCTTGTTAGACACAAATTTAAGAGGTAAAACAAATGAATTGATTTGTTATTTAATTTCTTTTTGGTTTTTAGCACGTGAACAAGCTTTAACAACAACTCAAACAACAACTGCTAATCCATTACCATCTAATATTCATAATTTAGGTCAACAACTTCAACCACCTAAAAATATTTCATATTATCCACAATTAATAACTGATGCATATATTGCCAAACAACTTGTTAAAGATTTATATTGTCATATTTTCGTGCACCGCTTCATCAAAAACAAGAAGTTATAACATCATTAAGTAAATTAGTTGGCTTTACACAAGATGAATATGAAGCTGCACTTCATAGCCAACTAACTAATACTAATAATAATGGAAAAAAAAAGCCAGTTGGTTAAAACGTTTGCTTAGTCGTAATACATCACCAAGTATTAATTTAACTAAAACAAGAGAAGGTATTATTCCTGAACATCATCAATTAGCCATTCGAAATTATCAAGAATTAAATAAATTACGTGAAGTTGTACCTATGGGTAAATGCTATTTCAATTCAATATTTATCTTTAATTAACGTATTCTTTTCTTTTTTTACATAGTGTGGGTGTGGGTGTGGATGTGGGTTTGGGTTGGGTGTGGGTGTGGGTGGTGGGTGTGGGTGTGGGTGTGGGTGGTGGGTGTGGGTTGGATGTGGGTTGGGTGTGGGTGTGGGTGTGGGTGGTGGGTGTGGGTTGGGTGTGGGGGTGGGTGGTGGGTGTGGGTGTGGGTGTCTGAAGGAACAATACTCACACCCACCCACACTCACACCCACCCACACTCACACCCACACACCCCACACCCAAACACCCACACACACCCCCACACC